GCAGTGAAAGGCCTTCAGAGAACTCTACCACCTTTTTTCATTTATATTCTGGCAGCCCAATTGCTTATTTTACTGACTCATTTGTCTGATATGCAAATAGGTCATAAGAGTGTCATTTTAGTATAAATAGCTATTAGGGCTCATTGTAATCTGACAAATGAGACTTGCCTTACAGCATTTCATTTCCTGCACTATAACAATGTGTAATACTTTACAAGTTATATGTTTCATGACTGATTTGTAAATGGTTTACTTCTGGGCTGCTGAAAGAACTTACCGCTCTCCCTCCTATCCCTATCCATTCATCACTGGCTCTTCTCTAAACACTCCGTGCCTTCAGACCTGCCAGGGACTTGCCTGTGTGACCAGCGCTGAACTCTGAAATGGTAGGTCTGAACTATGGAAAGTTAAAGACTAAAACGTCCCCTGATGCCTGTGAAAGAGGTACTGTCCCAAGCTGCTTAAAAAACAACACCAGTGGGTTTATTGTTTCTTTGGATTTGCTGGCAGGGAACTATTCACTTAAGCAACTTCCATCCCACATCAGCTGAAGCAAATTTTATTTGTCAAGACCTGCTGCTTAGGCTAAGCTGGTTTGCAGTGAACAAAGTGGATTAGACAATGCTTACATGAGCAGTGCCACCATCAGATTGTTATCTCCCACTGGCATCACTCTGCAGAATGATGTCTTTTAACACCCTAACTAGTAGTTGTTCACTTTTTACTAAAAGAAAGAAAAAAAAATGGACAAGGGACAAGTACCTGCCCAGCTGATGAGGCAACAATCATTATAATAGGTCAGAAGTAAGTTGGAGTGATCTGGAATGCTACAGAACCAAAAGAGGGTGTCCCATTATAGCTTCAAATCTTTGCATACTTATATATTGGTCCATATTATCATAGAATCAGAATGGTTCTTCAGAAAATGGTTCTTGATAGAATCAGAATGGTAAAGATCACCCAGTTCCAAACTGCCTGCCATGGGCAGGGACACCTCCCACCAGACTAGATTGACCAAAGCCCCATCCAGCCTGGCCTTTAACACCTCCAGGGATGGGGCATCCACAGTTTCTTTGGGAAACCTGTTCTAGTGCCTCACCACCCTCTGAGTAAAGAGTTTCTTCTTAATACCTAATCTCAATCTCCTCTCTTTTTGTTTAAAACCATTACCCCTTGTCCTATTACTACACTCCCTGACAAAGAGTTCATCCCCAGCTTTCCTGTAGGCCCCATTTAGGTTTTGGAAGGCTGCTGTAAGGTCTTCCCAGAGCCTCCTCTTCTCCAGGCTGAACAACCCCAACTCCCTCAGTCTGTCTTCGCAAGAGAAGTGCTCCAGCCCTCTGATCATCCTCGCGGCCCTCCTCCTGACCCAGGTCCATGTCTTTCTTATGCTGTGGATCCCAGAGCTGAACACAGTACTCCAAGCAGGGTCTCAGAAGAGTGGAAGTATTTGGGAAAAAAAAAAAAACAACATATAACTATGTATTAACATATGGATCATCAGAAAATTGACAGGTACCCCAAGTGAAAGAGTTGGTTTGTTGTTTTTTTTCCAACAAATTCTCTTCTTTGCCTGCATATGAAGTAAAGTTCAGAAACCAACCACATTGACATTGACTCAGAAATGCACTCAACCACAAGAGAAACTTCCATGGGTTTATAGGCCCTCATTTTATAGCCCTCTGGGATGTAAAACGATAATAAGGACACAACAGCCAACATCAATGGGTATACATACTAGGAGTTGGATATTCATTAACACCAAAAATAGCCATCAGAAATGCAAAAATCCTCTCTGTTACTGGTTTGTGCAAAACCTGAAAAACTGGTCAAGAAGTCAGAAAGTCCTTACTTCCTTACTAGTTTTTATATTTGGTTATAAGTCTATGTGATGTAAGGAGGACTGAAGTGTGTCAGGACATCTGCAACACCAGAATGAATTCACTCATATCATTTGTTTGTGCTTGCTTCTACTGTCAGTATCTAATCCATTTTTCCTCAGAGGAAAGATTGTGATATTTTCCAGGAAAAAAACAAAACAAAAACAAAAACAAAACAAAACAAAACAACAACAAAAAAAAACCTCCTTTTATCACATTCCCTCTTATTCAACTCCTTTCTGATGTACACAGTCCAAAAGGATATGGGAGAATATTAGACTAAAGCTCTGTGATCTGCAAGTGATTCCAGTCAGCTTCTGGATGGAATCCAAGGTATTAGTTCCAGCTTATAAAGACCAAAATGGTCTGGGACCTGCTAAGTGTGGGAGGTCACTTGTCTCCTTGGGTTGTGTCATCACAGTTGAAGATGTGGAGCTCTATCAAAATAAATAACACAAGATGTTCCCAGTGAAGAGTCTTCTATTTTGGAAATAACTTCACTTCTTGTCTGATTATCTGGGCATGCTCTGAAGCCTATTTTACTCTCTCCTTGTTAAATCAGTTGAGTAGAGTGTGGATTGAGGTGTTCATATTCTTAGTCTATCCTTTATCCCTGCTGGTATTTTCAATTTATTAAATAAATTCCTAAGTATTGAACCAGTACCTGTAGAAACATTTAAATAAATAAATAAATAACTGATTTGGTAAAAATATGTTGAGTCCCTTCTCAATAGCTTTTCCAAACCTTTAATTATTCTTGAGCCCCTTTTTGAGCCTGTTTTAGTACCTTTCTGGTTGTTACACTGACCTATATATGTGTGTGTGTTCTTAACAATCTACATCCCATCCCATAAGCACTCTAGCAATTTCTCTCCCTTTTTTTTTTTTTTTAATACAGCTGCAGTTTGTCAGATGTTTTCTTTGTACCATCCACAGTGATGTCCTCATATCTTTCCTAAGCTGAGAGAGATAACTTAGTACATGTAAACTATTTTGAAGTAGACTGCATATTTGCTCCTGAGTATATTTCCATTGAACACCATTTGTCACCGTTTTGCCCGTTAACCTAAGTTCCCTCTGAAATATCTTCATATTCCACCTGGGTTTGTCCAACTTGAATAGCTTTCTCTCATTTGTATACTTTGCACTCAACTGCCCATTTGCTCCTCCAGGGCTGCATTAACTAATAGTGAAACCAGTATAGTCTTTCCAGGCATACTCTTCCTGAGAGTCATAAACATTCAGTTCAGTGAACCAAATAACACACATTCTGGTGCTTGCCCAGCCATAGGTAAAATTGTCCCAGGGAAGAGAGTATCAAATTCCATTTTACAGGATCTCTGAAGAACTACTGTGTGGTGAAGCCCTCTAGTGATCTTCAGATGTGATGACTGCACAGAAAAGCAAGCTCATGTACCCCCATAATGTCCTTTCTGATAACCAATTTACAGACTTACATATTAAGGACAGTTTTATTGGAGAAACAGGGTATGGAATGATGGAAGGAATCAAAACCCTCCTTCCTTGCCAAAAGTATGCTGACGTGCATTCTCACATCACTATGATGTGATGTGCACAATGCTATCACTGTATCCAATTTTCATTTTGAAGATATTCAGCCATAGATCCACAACTGGTCTACTCATAATTGTAGATCCAGTGCCTACATTAAAAATCTGAAGATCTCTCAGGATTAACTGGTGGTACTCACTAGATAAAAAAGGGGCAGTTCCTTTTCCTACTCATCATCTCCTTACTTCCATAACAGAGAGACTGAATGAAACAACCTCTACAATAACTTTGCCATGTACTTAGAGATGGATACAGTTTCCCTGGTTCTTCAGCCAGCAAGACATTTCAGCAACTGGATTAAGAAGAAAATATTTAGGGTTTAGATCACTTTTATCCTGAGGGATTTCTGGATTTTTTTTTGAATGACCAGAAGTACATACAAAGAAATTTCCCCCCCCAAAAAAAAAATCACCTGGAAATAAAGGATCACCAGAAATAGTTGCTTTTGCTTGAGGTTGTTTAAATATTACCTTTCATTAGTAGTAGCAATTTTCTGTCTTTTGCAAGCTGCATTTTATCACTAAAAATAAATGTGGACAATGTGTATCCTCAAATTTGTACACTTCATTGAAAATCGATTGGATTTCTGCAATTGTTTTGCGCCTCTGTGAGAGCATATTTAAGACAGAGAAAAAAAATGCTGCACCATATAGGAGCTGGGAGAGTGAGAGGAGTGAGGAACAACCTTGCAGGCACCAAGGTCAGTGAAGAAGGAGGGGGAGAGGTGCTCCAGGCGCCGGAGCAGAAGTCCTCTATGGCCTGTGGTGAGGACCATGGTAAAGCAGGATGTCCCCCTGCAGTCCATGGAGTACCACGGTGGAGCAGGGTTCCATGCTGCAGCCCGTGGAGGAGACCACGGTGGAGCAGGTGGCCCTGCACTGACAGAGGCTGCCGCCTGTGGAAGACCCCTGCCGGAGCAGATTCTGGGCTGGACCTGTAGCCCATGGAGAGGAGACTACGCAGGAGCAGGTGACCTGGCAGGAGCTGCTGCCCATGGGGGACCCAGGTTGGAGCGGTTTTCTCCTGAGAGATGGACCCCGTGGTATCCCATATCTGAAGCAGTTCTTGAAGAGCTGCTGCCTGTGGGAAGACCACACTGGATCAGATCAGCAAGGACTGCATCCCGTGGGAGGGACCCCACAGTACAGGGGATGAGAGTGACCAAGAAGGAGCAGCAGAGAAGTACTGCAGACTGACCATAACCCGCATTCCCCCATTCCCCTGCGCCACTTGGGGGGAGGAGGTAGAAGAGGGTGGATGGGGTGTGAGGTGCTTTTGGTTTCTTTCTTTTGTTTCTCACTTCTTTGTTAGTAACAGGCAATAAATCTTACTATCTCCCTATGCTGAGTCTGTTTTGCCTGTTGCAATAATTATTGTGTGATCTCTTCATCCTTATCTCAACCCTTGAGCCCTTTTCATCGTATTTTCTCCCCATTCCTTTTTGAGGAGTGGGAGTGAGAGAGCGGTCGTGGTGGAGCTTGGCCGCCCACCCGAGTAAAACCACCACACATTCATACTTTTCTGGAAGGATTATGCTGTTGTTCTTACCCAGCGGAGCCATCAGCAAGCCATCCTGTGGTGCAGCCAGTGAAGGAACAGTCCACAACAGCTCTTTTCAGTTCTTCTGCAGTTGCTAAGTGAGCATTCACGGCAACACAAGCTTTGTCAGCTTCAGCTAAATCCAGACCCTGAGAGTTGTTCTTCGACTCAAGTGCAAACACTTTCCCTGCAGCACCAAGAAAGGGCAAGTCACTCATCATGGTATTATATTTAAGACATATTCAATAAAAATATTGCAGCTTATCTGAAAATAAAGTCTTCATGTTTTCACTAAGTTCAAATCAATGAGCAACCTATTTCTTGGAATTAATATTTTTATCAATTAATATTTTTATCATATTTTTATAACGTTGTTTTTATTTTCAGTTCAGTTTATTTAACGCTGTGAAAGCTGTAAGGCTGCAAAGTTAGAGGCTTTGGCTTTGCTATCTGGGAACAGGGCAGTTGGGGTTTTGTCAATAAGGCTTGAGAAGTTACTGAGTTACAGAATAAACACATTAGCACTATGTCTCAAAAAAAAAAAAAAGAAATTAACATTGAGATAGTTCACGGTGCTGCTGTTAAAACCACTGTAAGTATGTTCTTTCTGAAGATAACATCCCTCAGACTGACTCCTAAATTTCAAAGGTACAGATTTAGGTTGTTTGAAGGCTCAGGAAAACAGCTTTTTAAGCACTGTTCATTCAATCAGTGTCTGGAAACACTTTCTGCTTTTGGTGGGAATTCTAGACATGCCTAGTAAGAAGCCATCCTGAGATAGGCAGACTGCAATTTCAGTAAGCATGACAAGCAGTGATGAGAGGGAACATGAATTCACAGTACCCAGAGTAGCCACTAGACGAAATCGTCTCTTGCTTCTCAACTATAATCAATACCAAGAACTATAATTGGAATGGGGAATTTAACACACAGGAGTGAAAAAAAGCAAACCTCTTCAATCCTAAGTACCAAAACCTCAGGATTCTCCACAAACGTCCCAAATAACATGCACAACCATAATGGAGGCTGTTGTTCCCAAAGGCATGAACAAGCCATAGTGAAGAATGCATGGGGTATGGAGACAGATAACATGAGCAGAATGACTTTAAACAATCTTTCATAAGTTGTGGAACAACTTTTATTCATAAAGGTATGGAGGGTTTAAGTATAATGCTTTATTTGGGCTTTGATCCAATTAAAAACTTGCCCATATTTAACATTTCATAATTTGGCTGTCAAGATCGATATGCATCATCAAAGACATACAGGATAATTCTGTGTATTATCTGACTTAACTCATAAATATTCGTGTGATATGGCAGTGAGCCCTGTTTTCCAGCAATTAGTATTTTAGTTAGAAGACTAAGCTAAAAATAAAAAATAATAATTAAGGATTGAGTTCCCTCAAGATATATGTAGAAAAAATAAAGTTCAGCACATAGTCTTTTTACCCTAAGTGCCAATTACTTATTTACAGGTGTTTTGCTAACAAAGACCAAGGCTGAGACAATTTTCCCTAACTACAGTCATATTTTTGCTAGTACTTATGGTACTAGCAAAAAAAAACAGCAGCTGGGAGAGAGGAGTGAGAAGCAGCCCTGCAGCCCACAAGGTCAGTGCAGAAGGGCAGGAGGTGCTCCAGGCACTCAGCAGAAGTTCTCCTGCAGCTTGTGGAGAGGCCCCTGGTGGAGCAGGTTGTCCCCTTCCAGCCCATGGGTCCCATATGGAGCAGATCTCCATGCTGCAGCCCATGGAGGAGCCCCATGTAGAGCAGGTGGATGTGGCCTGGAGGAGGCTGCAGCCCATGGAGAGCCCCCCCAGGAGCAGGCCCCAGGCTGGAGCTGCAGCTTGTGGAAAAGAGCCCACTCAGGAGCAGGGGGTCTGGGGGGAGCTGCCGCCCACCTGTGGGTAACCCATGCTGGAGCAGTTTGCTCCTGATGGATGGACCCCGTGGTACGGAGCCATGTGGGAGCAGTTCTTGAAGAACTGCTGCCTGTGGACAGCCCCCACTAACTCAGTTCGGGAAGGACAGCATCCCGTGGGAGGGACCCCACCTGGATCAGGGGCAGAGAGTGACTGTGAAGGAACAGCAGACAAAGCATCACGGACTGACCACAGCCGCCATCCCCGATTCCCCTGCATTGCTTGGGGAGAGGAGGTGGAAGAGGGTAGGTGGGGGGGAGGTGGTTTTGGTTTCTTTGCTTTGTTTCTCACTTCTCTAGCTTGTGATAGACAATAAGTTTTACTATCTCCCTACTCTGAGTCTGTTCTGCCCATCACAATAATTGTTGAGTGTTCTTCCCAACCTTATCTCAACCCGTGAGCCCTTTGCATCGTATTTTCTCCCTTTTCCTTTGAGGAGGGAGAGTGAGAGAGAGGTTGTGATGGACCTCAGCTGCCCACCTGAGTAAAACAGGGGAGGGGAGGGGAGGGGAGGGGAGAAAAGTTTGTCTCATATACTTGGTATCAGTCAGTTTTGGTACTGAGGCTGTAAAAAATTCAAATTGTTTTCAACTACTCTACAATATCATAATGTGTTAGAGAGGTGATACTCTGGAATGATATCAAGAGATGTACTGTCATTCTGGTTTAAATATGCAGTTTGAAATATGAGACTGTGTTATATTGCCATAAGGCACAGCATTTAAGGATCACATCTTTTTGTGCATTTGTTTGAAGAACATATTATGCCTTTGTACAACAGCCACCATGTTTGATCTCCCTCTCAGTGCTCTTCCTTTATTTCTGTCCTGTAGCATTTTTTCCCATAATGTGATGATAAGACAGGTAGTGTGACTTTTTTTCCCAAAACCCTGTATACTTTTCTCATGCCTTTTCAACCAAAGCCAGTCTCTTCTGTTTTAAGATCAAGCTAGAAATCCATGGCAAGTGGCCTTTTTCAGACAACTTATTGCACATCTAGTTTTTCAGATTCAGAATGGCAAATGTCCTAGTTATAGTAAATTTCTTCAGGTTTCCCTTTGAAACAAGTGAAAAAGTTACTACTTCAGTGCTAAGCCATTAAAGCACATAATGGCAGCTTCAGTAAGCTAAGACATAATTATTCCTACTTTTCATTAACAGCTGAACTCAGAGTTCTTGAGAAAAAAATCACTTTAAACCAGAGACAGTATTTCTCTAATAACTAGACAGTTATTAATTTCTCTAATAACTAGACAGTTACAGGGGTAGCCTCTACTGTCATCACTATCATTACAGAATTTGAATTCCATTTTGGTAAAGAGAGAAAAGAATTACTTTTACAGAATTACTTTTATTATTGTTTGGCACTAAAATTTTGTCAACAAGCAATAGCTGAATATAGATCTTACTTAAGAGTACCTCACTATAGTCTGGTGGAAAACATATCCATAGATCTCACAGCCTCTAGGATTCATTTTTATCACCTTGTTTGAATTCCTGCATAGCTGGACTGTAGATTTCCTCCAGCAGTTCCAACATCAAGTCCAAAAATTTGTGGTTGAACTAGAGCATGTCTTTTCAAAAGGCATCCAGTCATGATTCAATGACTCCAAGTAATGGAGAATTTACAGCACACTTTATAGTAAACTGTTCCAATGGTTCATTACTCTCACTCCACCTTATTTCCAGTTTCAAATTTTGCTAAACTTAGCTTCTTACAACTGGACCTTATTATGCTTTCAAGACAGAAGAGCCATCTACAACCAGATATAGGAAAGCATAAAAAGGAACACTTCAAAAATAAGAAAAGTCCAAACCCTGTTCCTTCTTACTTTTAGGAATCCCAGCGGAATTAGCAAAATTCTCTTGGTTATGAAGAAGACAGTTGGCTAATTTATTCTAATACAGTAACAGATACAACAAGAAGTTCTTCTGAGTTATATAGGCACCACTCAAAGCCCACTACAGTGATTTCAGTATCTTCTATATTTTCAGGAGAACTTACATCATGCTTGAAGAAGAAGAATAAAATTGCATAACCAAACATACCTTAAAATAAAAATGTCTCTCACAAATAATATAAAATGAGGTACTTTAAAAGGCATGTTTATTGTGCTAATTATGATGCTGTGTTGCTAGCTCAAATGATAATCCCTCATCAGTTTCAACAAAATAAAGGTGGTGAAAGATGTGCATATTTGGAGTCTGGTTTATTTTTACTTAAATGTTAAAGTTTTCAAATTGAGGTAGAGAGTGGAGGAAGGGAAGGTCAACTCTGTGCTTCAAAAGCAATTTTATTTCCATTTCTGTGGCTGCCTGTAACAATGGCCTTACTTGTAATAGTAAGGGTGGAGAATTCAGTAAAACTGCACAATTACAGAGATTCGGTAATTCCCAGCTCTTCTTAGGGTTTATGAATATAGAGTTTATTTCTGTGAGAAAGTAAAATTAATGATGTTTTATTTAATCCAATCTGCTTAAAATATTACATCTTCAGGAAAATAGCAAAATTAGGAGGTCACCTTTGAGTTTCTCCTCACCTAAATTCTGTATGAACTTAAATTTTAGTAAAGCCCTTATGATCAAATATATGAAATTGTTTATGCATTTATTTTTGCAACATACAAATATATTCGTTGTTTTGCAAGTGGCATCATGAAATGCTTACACACATTACTCAAATGCAACTGAAAATATAGCAGAAGAGAAAAAAAATACTTTTTTTTTCTTTTCCTTTGATTTGCTTTACAACCTTTTTGTAAATAGTTTTTTTTCCTCCTTAAACTTTTCCAGTTGTTTTACTGCAGATCAAAACCAGCTGTTTATTACTGCTTTTAAGATAATTCTTTTTTTTTTCCCCAGGATGGGTACTTAATTAATTTCATTTTTTCTTACCTACCAAAATATACTTGATAGCTACTTTCACCCACTCATTGCTGCTTAACAAAAATCCCATGCAGAAGAAGTCCTACATCTGGACTGGATGTATGGAATCTAGCTTGTATATGGCATGCATCATAAAGGCAGCTGTGTGAGCATTGAAGTGACACTTAGCTGCTCTAATGCATTGAGAAATATTAGCATACCAGTAAAATCCTATCTCTGGCATTAGACATATCTGCTTCTAGGTCAGATTCTCATGTAATTGTGCCTAGTTTTCTGGATTCATAATCCTTCACCTGCAACCTCTTCAGTCACTATGTGTGGCCACTAGCAAATAATCAGTTTGATCAGTAGGTCTTGCATGTAACTCAAAATTTAGCCAACTGAACAGCACTTTGGAATAATTTGTAGAGTTTTGCAATTGGTACATTTTTTTCAAATGAGATGTGTATCTGTAAGGTAGATTAATTGCCATCATTCTCTGACACATGCTCTTTCTCAGAGCCCATATTCTGTAGAAAACTATAGTTCACATTTATTCATATTTTAATGCCAGTGAAAAGACAAAAGAGGGAATCAAAACAAACAAAAAAGAAACAAAGAAACAAAAACAAACAAGAAACAGAGGTGACTCACTCTTGTACAGCATGTGTGAAGCATGCTTATGCTTCTATTCTGGTGCAAAGATATTTCAAAAAGTCTGCATTTGTATGGGTATAATTAAGAACAGTCACAACCACAAGAATCTAATTAAAACCTTTGTTTTCACAAAGGTGAAGTTTAAAGTTGACTCTGATTGACAGAAAATTACAAAGCAATTATACAGCTATTTGGCTGTATGATTCCCATTCACAAAAAATTCCCATTCTACCAGTGGCTGGTATGGCTGAAAAATTCCAGAATTTTGAGCTGTCTTTACTGTCTCCCATCCATAACCTATTTTGTTATGCAGTAACTGCACTAGCAGCAGTGGCACTATTGTTCTCCATATTTACAACAAAGTAAGTCAGAGCAGGAACAGGCCCTTGAGCAGTCCTGTATCTGCCTGACCCTGACCTCCAGAGCTATTGTTATAAATGAAGTCTCAACTCAATCTGAATTTTGTAATATTTATAAAACAAATATTTATAAAAGGTATAAAAGGCAAGTAAACAGCACTGGGTGTGTGGGGAGTCTACACTCCACCAACACGCACACACGAACATCAAACATTCTAAATATACAGAACATTGCTTTTAGATACTAAACTCGAGTATGCCTATACATACCTACAATCAGGAAAGGTAACAAACAATCCTTTAAGTTCCATGACTTAACAGTCTCCATTTTCCATTCCTTTTCTTGATTATTAACAAGTCTCCATTTTCCATTCCTTTTGAACAATATGTCTTGCTTTAAGTTGTCAAGCAACTCGGTCTTCAGGCCTTATGTATCCCGTTCTTCCCGGATTGAAGAAAAGCATATCCATTTCCTTTTCAAGGCCAATGAGGCCTGGGTCAAAAGGCACGTCCGGGTCACCAGGGGGCAGAACAGCAAAAGCCTTTGATGGCTGTAGCAGCAGAGGGGCCCATGGCGTAGCAGTCGGATCAGTAAAGGAGCCCGCAGCTCCCTCACTATCTGGCAAGCCACACGTTTGTGATTGTGGTCCTACATGGCTCTTTAAGGCCTCAGAGATTGCTCGCCAGATGCCGAGCAATCCCACTGCAACCTTGTCGTTTCTAGTTGCAGAGTCCCACACCTTGACCTCAGTTTGGTCCCATATTTCAGGATCATAAACTGTCTGATTGTTAAGAAGGAGAATAAGCTGTAAGGTTACCAGGACAGTCTTTGTTGCTAAGGACGTATGATTCCCCATAATGCGCAACTGCTTACCAGCGAGAGGCAGTTGTGTGCACAGGTCTGCTTCTCTGAGGTTGAGCTTCTATCCAGCTCCGGTGTGCCTGTTTCCAGTGACTTTCTGTACGAGCTTCTCTGAGCAGTTTGCTGAGTTTGGCCGAACCTATCTTCATGAGGCAAAGTGCCTGTTCTGTCCTGGTCTCTGTTCTGCCTGCCTGTTCCTTTTCATTCCTTCTTTCTGCTTCTTTATTGATGACATAACTTCATCACATCGCGTTGCCTTTTTTTTTTTTTTTTTTTTTTTTTTATCTTGAGGGCAGGCTCCCCTCTTATACCCTTCTCTCCACAGCAGTTCTTTTCAAAACAACTTTTCATTGGTCAAACAACTTTGAATGTAACAACAGCAAACACACAGAAACTTCGATGCCTTAACAGCTGGAGAACAAGAGACCCGAGACTGCATGGAGTCTCCTGAATCACCCTTTTGTTCCCTCTAAACTCTTTTATATTCCTGATGGCCTCATCGTTAAGAGCCTAATGTTATCTCAACCATGGGGCTTTCCAACCCCCATGGCCACACTCTCAAATCTCCCCCTTCTTTATTAATATCAGCCATTTTCTCGACACGAATTACCACTCCATATATAACACTATGAACAAGCACATTTCCATTGTAAGGAAAAAAAAACAAAAACAAAAAACAACTTCAAATCGAAAGAAAGCTGTCTTTTAGTTTGGCATTTACGCTTGTCTTTCTGGAAACTATCAGCTCTATAACAATATGCATTGTGGTAAGTATTAGTCAAAAGAGATCAATAAAGTTTCAAGGCTTTATACCTTCACCGGACCCCTATGGTTTCCAGTTTTGTTACCTACTCTTTGACATTATTTGTGTGTAAGATAATAAAGTGAAGGTCTTCCTTTGGGAAATATATTCTAACCAGTTTCAGGGAATTGTCTGTAATTGGGGACAGTCTGGATTTCACAGGATTTTTACAAGGTGAAGTCAAAATCTCTTCTGTGCTTTGCAAAACATTAAATTATTTTTTGTTAAAAGTAGCAAACACATATACGTGTCACCCAGAACCATCCTTTGTCACTTAAGCCATGTATACATATATTAGAGTAGCACAATTATACTTTCACCTAAAACTTTCAAAACTGAGAAGGTGGTTTCCTGTTTGGATCAGGCAAGAATCTGTTATAAAGGAAAGTATTAGTCCTGTTTTGTACTCTCAGATCTTATTTAAATATGTAAGTCTATGTGTAGTGGTAAATACTAAAGTTCAAATAAAGTGTTTTCTTCTGCATATTAAGCCAGGTGGTTTATAGGATAGTGTTATAATTGATAGATTGAATATTAATATTAGTAGAAGACACTGGCAAGCATGCTAATAGAGGACTTAAACATTTTCAGCAAAGATTCTTAAAAGTTAAATAAAAACAGAAACAACAATGTTATAGTAATGCTCTACAATTGCAATGTTCTTTGTATATTTTACCCTTTAATTCTTACAATTGCTTTACCACTTGTAAAGTAAATTTGAAAAAATGTTGAATGACAAAATCTGTCATGAACTTTGCCTTGACATGATCTCCAAATTTTTTTCCCATTCTTTTTGAGAGGGTTTCTGTCTAGGAAGCAAGAAGATGCTATCAATGCAACAAAATTTTGGAGGTGTTCTTGAAAAGAAAAGGGATGACTTCCCAGAAAGCATTCTTAGCAAAAGCAAATTAATTATTCCTCTCTTGTCACCTTTTTTAAGTTATGTGTAGAACCCTCATTCATGGGGATGCGTTTTTTTCCTCATTTCAGAGGGATTTTGCTAGGCAATGAGAATTTCCTAAACTTAGAATTGCAGTTTTACCTAGTGCAACACAATGGAGTTGTCTGACACAGTTCTTTTGCTTTATTCTTAAATAAAAGTAATTTTCTTCAACATTACAAGACAAGGTTCTGCTATATAAATGACATTTTACACAAAATGGTAGGCATGTGCAGACAGGATTAACTTGCCCCCTTTCTTTTCCCCTATTTTTTGATCAGCAGAAATAAATATAGGCTAAGGAGGAAAAATACTCTGAGAACAAAAAGAAGAGTTTTTATTGCTCTATAATGTTGAAGGACTGTTTTCTGGAATAATGCAGCAAACATTGATGGTAAAGGATTAGTGTACAGAAAAAAAATAAATCCTGGGATCAGGCATAAATCTATTGCAGCTGTGAAAGTGAAAAAAATATGGCCATTCAGCGTTGCTGTCCCAGGAAAAGACACAACTGTTTTAAACACGAATTGTATTTCTGCTAAGGCAAGTTAGTCATCAGTAGGGTGGCTCAATTATTAAAAGGGTGATAGGCTGCAGGAAAACTGCAAAGGATGCAGCCATTCAGGATTATCATCAGCGGGTAAAAAAAGTCACATTTCAGAGTAAGCAGTAGATGGTGATTCAACCCAGTTCGTGTTCTGATCAAACCCCTCAGCAGTGAAGAACAGGTGAAGCTCACATGCAGAAGGGCGAACAGTTATCTTGAGTGTGTGTTGTACCAAATAGAAAATGCTGTAAGTGGAAGCCCTCAACTTCTTGCCTTCCCTTCTTCAAATACCTTCCCATATAAATTGATGTTTGGTGGCATCTGAGGCAAGCAGATGTGGAAGTCATTTGGAGAAATTATATTTTTAATTATAAGCGAAGCTCTCCTAAAATATAGCTGATTGTTCTTAATTCGTGTCCTGGCTTTATTATTCTTATTTCCTCTGGAAAAGTTCACTATCCTCTTATTTTGTTGTAATAAAATAATCTTAGCCTTCTGGGATCTTATTTCCTTTCTCTGCTTAACCAACCCCAGGATATTTGTAGAGTCTCAAAAAACTCTGAATCAGACATTCCCTAACCCAAAGTGGGGCGTGTATTTAAGTTTCTTATTAAAAAAGAAAGGTGGTGTTTTTTTTTTTTTTGTTTTTTTTTTTTTTTTTTTTTTCTTTCTTTCTCAATAACATAGTTCAACATACAGTTCTCCTTCCAGACACAGCAACCCAGCCCGAACTGAGTGGAGACTCACCATCAGCCCGTACAGAGATGATCTGAAGGATGAAGAAGACAGATCCCACGCCCCGGACGAAGGTGAGAGATAATCTCCGAGAGCCCGAAGCCATCACCCCGCTGCGAAGCCCCCAGCTGCAGGAGAGTGGCTGTGGAGTCTTTTTCTCCCTCCTCCTCTGCATGTTAGCAGCAGGGGCAGCAGTGATGATTTCAAGGAGCTGCTTTCCCTCGGCGGGATCCTGCGTCTTGGGTTTGCACTGAAGGTAGGAGGGGTGGAAAAAGAAAGGGAGAGGGAGGGAGAGAGGAATCCTTTGCTTGGCTGGTGAGAAGGGGAGGGGAAGGTGGGGGGAGATGTCTGGTCAGCTGGGGCTGGGGAGAGGCTTTGCCCAGCCCAGTCGGCAGGGCAGCGAGGACTGAGAAAAGTCAGTGAGAGAAGTGTGAAAAGTCACATTGCCCTGTTGGTAAACGCAGCGCAAGAAATGTAAAAGCTGGGAGGGAGAGAAAAGGGGGACAGGACAAGCCACAACCAGGAGAAATCCTTGGCTGGAAGGAGAAGGGCAGCTAGGTAGCTGGCGCTGGTAAGCAGGGAGTTTCTGGATATAGCTGTACATGGAGGGATGGGTTTGTGAGTGGGGGAGTGTTTTCGCTCTGCACTGTGAAACCAGACAGCAGCGTATTGCTTAGGGTCGCAGGTCAGGGTCTGCCACGGCAAGAGTGATGATCTTCAGGCGAGGGGTAAGGTAAGGTGGCAAACGGCACTGATGGCACTGGACCATAACAGCAGAGCTTCGCTGGAGATGGGAATTGTTCATCCTGCTACTTCACATCCCAGGTTTGGAAAGGGTACAAGGAACCAAAGGTCAAAACAGGAGTCTTCTTCAAAGTGCTGGTCTTCATTAGTGCTCCTGATCCAGAAGAATGGGTTGGTGCTCCTCATGATGCTCTGAAAGCAGTTAATGAGAGGAGTTTGCAGCTCCCATTAGCACTTCCAGCAATGACATCTGTCCGTTATTTCCATTTGTCCTTATTTTGTCCAAAGAAAACTCAAAAGAAACCCCCACAATAAGAGCAATTATACCAGTGGTGATGCCAGGATTTATTTCACTAAATATGTAAACAGAATAGTTTTGTGTTGCTGTTGGAACTCAGCAGAGCTCAGAAATATTGTTTTCATATTCCCATCCTATTTTGCTTTTATTTCAGCTTCTTAAAATTTTTTCCCTTAGAAATTCAAAGCTGGGCAAAAATACTCACTCTGTTAGTAAGTCTGAGCCACCAAGACCAGGAGAAAGAAGCTGACCCTCCCCACCACAATAGCCCCAGTGCTGTAAAGGACAAGGTGCTTATAAACAGCTGCATATGTATTCTCATAATGATGGACCTGCCAAATGTTACTTTCAGTCTGAGTGGAATGACTCAATCTCAGGAACCTCCCTATATGTTATTCAAGCAAGCAAGCAACACCATGGCACTGGAAGCTTTAAATATAACTTTTGATGAATTTGGGTAGTTAATGCTCTGATCCAGCTGACTTTTAAAGAATCTTAGCCTCTTCCACTCCTTTATACCCATGCATGATGTGAATATACACACTGAAAGCTTTCAGACAGGTAGCTTTGAATTTTCTGTTTATTCAAAAAACACAGATAGCAGCAGGTTCCTCTACACTGCCTTGCTAACTGTAAGGAACACCTCTGGAATTAGAAGGAAGCGCAGCTTCTTGCTCACTCTGTCCTTAACAGGGGACTTTGTTGTATTGTAACTACATAACTGCATTTTGTTTCAAGGGAAATTGTATATGCTGTACAGCAAAAAATAATATACAACGTGACAGAAAAGGAAATAGAAAATTGTAGTATTCTTTAATTAATTTATTTTTATTTTTTTTTCCTGGTGACTTATCTGATGGCATAAAATATGTTTTTAACCTTCTAGTACACCAATACTTTTTATACCTGTTTTAAAAATCAGTGGACACAAAGAGAAGAGAAGACGTTGAATCTACATACTTTGAGTAAGATAGCAAAGAAATTCCAAGAAACTGAGTAAGTAGTTACAGCAAAACACAGACATTAGTAGTGACTTCACTTGACCACAGCAGTAGTTCCATTTTTCCTTGATACTTGTCATAGGGCTGATGACTTTGTTGGCTCTTTGCTGTCCCCATGAGTTTGGCCAAAGCAGTTGTGGGAAAGGACAACATCCTCTGGGTTTCCATCTAAAATTCCAAAGGTCTGCTTGATTTATTTTGCTATAATTGGATCATTTTCTTGTGTTGATATATGTAAAGGCATGTTGCCACTCTGGCTCTTGTCTTGGAAAATCTCAGCTTGTATTCTTGAGCAGAACATCTTACTGATTTTAAAGGACTACAACAGATCATGTGATATGTTCCTTTCTGAAGGCAAGAATAGTTGGTAAGAGTGAACTGGCTTCCTTTCATCCCGTCCCAGCCATAAATAAAGTCTATAAGCTTGGTAAGGTAAGGACCCATAACTCCTGGAAGTACATACATCAGTACCAACCAGTTGCCATTCAAATCTAGTATTTCTGTAGGCAAAACTCCCTGTTCCCAATGTCTTTTGGAAGATTTTTATAAATCTGTGCAGATTAGGTTTTGTACTGAAATTATGTTAATTTTTAATTCATTATGAGGATTTGGGTACTTCAGCTTAGTAAGATGCCAATATGGAAGTTACACAACCTCTTCACACCCTCTCTCTTTGCATATACATGAAGATAATCAACTTTACACACCATTCTGATACACTCTTAGTAAATCAACACAAGCTCCTTTATAGAAAACTTTGTAGGATCATGTCATTATCATGGGGGGTGTCTGCTTTCCAAAGTCTATGACTTCAGCTGCTGCTAGAATCAGGACATAAAGAATAGTGGCTCCGCTTGCCAAACAGCATGTGAAGGGATCTGAAATGCCTTAGAGACAACACTGCATTTATATACAAGTATTGCAATGACTGACATGTCCTAAAGAACATGAAATCTGTGTGACTGAAAGGCAGGCAGAAAACATTGGTAGTACTGTACACCTCTTGTATTCATTGATAGTACACCTACTGTATATGGGGATCCAAACTTGTTCTGCAGCTGTATCCAAGCTTCTAGCCCCCAAACGCTGACTGGAAAAGGGAAAGAAAAAAAGTGAGAGAAAGATTTCTTTGTTTATAAAATGTGAATTATTAAGCAACAGTAATGGAGACAAACATTTTTCAGTGTCTGGCAGTCTGCAATAGTCTACTCGCTGCAGGGAACTTTTTATTTTATTTATACAGAGTGTTTGCACCTAATTAAATGAAAAAGTAGAAATGTGCAGAACTACCTGAAAGTAATTCAGGGAGCTGACAAAAAAAAAAAAAAGGAAAAAAGCATATGTCCCACTTTGTGGGTGGTGTGTTGAATACTAGGACCTGTGTCATGGCTCTGCTGACCCTGAGGAAGAGTGTGATTCTTATACTTACATCATGTTATGAGGGGTCAGGCATCATCATGTGACAGGCCATGACCCTCATATAAATCACTGCCATGTAAACTGTAAAAATCACACTTCATTTCTTGAAGACTGAGCAGTCTCAAGAAAAGAATCATAGAATATCCTGAGTTGGAAGGGACCCTTAAGGATCATCAAGTCAACAAGAACAAAGATATCTGGCCATAAAGTAGCAGCTGTATTAATGATACGCAAAATGACCTCTTTTTTTTTCCTGACAAACAGAGGTAAAGTGAATGTCTGGGTGGTTTTGGTTGGCATTATTTGGCTGAGGGCAGGAGGAGAGGTCATAATTTTTACTTTCTTCTCTCCATTTATACTAAAACCTTGCAGCAGTTTAACAGGTAAAAGTTATGTAATACTGTAAAAGGTACTGAAGTTTAGCCAAATAGTTTCTCCTGGGTCTCTCTGGGCATCTGTAAAAGTCTGGGTACAGACAGAATCTTATATTTTGCCTGGATTTCCCTTGTCCATTTGTAGGTGAACCACTCCCATTTCATAGTTTCACCTTCCTTTTCCTACACCCTCTAACTTTCAGGCCAGCAAAGGGGCCAGCAAGAGGGGTCTCTTCTGAAGCACGGTGCCCACACCTGCCATCAGCAGAGCACCACATAGCTGGCATTGCTCTGAGATATATTTCACATGGACACACAGGGGCAAAGCGAAGTTCACAGAATCGCAGCATGGCTGAGGTTTGAAGGGACCTCTGGAGGCCATCTGGTCCAACCCCCCTGCTCAAGCACGGCCACCTACAGCTGGTAGCGTAGGACCATGTCCAGACTTTTAATACCTTCAAGGAGGAAGACTCCACAACCTCTCAGGGCAACCTGTGCCAGTGCTTGGCTAAGTTACTTCAGTAATCCTCTGCAGGTGCCCAGACATCTTCCTGTTTCTTCAGAGCTCACTTGCAAGCCTGCTGACAGGCCCTGTGACTAACCCAACACTGTTCATACATACGCTCTTCCTCCACTAGTTCAATTGGGAGAAATCTCTTCAAGGCCCTCTCAAAGCACGCCCTGTAATTTAGCTAGGTCCTTTATCAGATTTCTCTTTCACTGGACATGGTATGGCCCAGGCCGCAAACCGCAAAGCAGCATTTTGTGTGGTTGGAAAATGAACTGGGAGCCTCCAAGCTTGTATTCCCATCTCAGTCAACAACATACTGCCTGACTCTGTGTGAAATTGTTTACCTTCACCAGATCTTACCTCGGAGAAACTCACCTTAGAATGAAGTCCTCTTGACCACGCAAGCTGTGCTTAGTCTCTGTGGTGCAGGTGTGAAGGATTGCATGGCTCTCTGCATTCTTGGGCTGACAAAAAACAGTGTGACTCCAGTATTCATCAAAGATCCCCACATACCTCTATCCACTTCCACCTTCAGTACTTTACAGTCATTTGCGAGACCCATGGCATCAAGCCCATGGAAAATGGCAGGCAGGAAGAGTCTGATCCTGACAAATTTGCAGGATGCTTCCTCTCAGGTCACTTTCCCCAGCATGTGGCACATTCCAGGGCATTCTCTTCCTGCAGCAGAGCTGCACTCCAGCACCTCAGCTTTATTTCACAGAGTGACATGTTTAGTCCTTCCGTTTGCAAACAGAAGCTAGTAAATACACAAGAAGTGAGTGTGCAGAAAGCTGGAAAGTGTCTCTCAGAGCTGCAAATGCTCTCAACCAGGGTCTGACGGGATATGCAAGGCCATGGTTGTAGTATTTGTCATGCTTCCAGCGCTACCATTAATTTGCCATTTATTTTACCAGTCACCTCATATTTTGGCTTTTGTGTCTCAGCCTGGTTCACCAGCTATTTCCTATAATTTAATTTAACTGCTTTATAACATATGTTCCCTTGACCTTAAGGCATCCTTAATTTCTCATTAGCTGTTAGCTCTGCCCTCTAGTGCTGCATGTGACACAGGAACTGGATGTTGTATCAATGGCTTTGCCATAAAGCCAAGCTGGCATTTAAAAGTCAACTACATTGAATGGTAAAAAAACCCTACACATTGACTAAACTGACTTGATATTTTTGTGCCTCCCAGCGGTGGTTACAAGTCCATTTGTAGTCATTTAAAGAGCAGACCTCTGAAATTTAGCCTACCTAAAACCCAGTGCTTTACAATATTGACTGGTCAACTAAAGTTTAGTTACTGCATGCTTATGCAGCTCAGCCTGTGGCTTTGATCCTCTTCACAGGTTCCCAGCTGCTGCGGATTTGACCAAGTGCCCCTTTGAGTGAAGTGCAGCTGAGAAAGTTATCCACCTCAGTGCCTGGAATTTGAAGTTAAGCTGGGATGAACAGCAGAGCCAACAAGAGTACAGGGACCTCCAGCATTTTGAATACTGCAGAGCATATGCAAGAACTAATGCTACTGCTTTGCACTTAAGCAGTAATATTTTTAAGTAGAGTTTTATGAAAACTCTAAAGTTTTGTTTTCCTAATTCTACTTGAGGAAAATGGCATTAGTCAAACATGTGAAAGCACTTAAAGTAATGTAGGCATGTTCCTAAAGAGTGGATGAAGTGAGATGAAGACATGGTTGTTGACATGACATCTTTGAAATGCTTTCCCTCCTTGCACAAGCTCCTCATGCTATTATTAAGGTCAGTATAACTGTTTGGTTAGGCATTAGAAATATCATAAAGGCAAATGCTGAAGAGACTTTGAGTCTTTCTTCTTATAAACACTTGTTCATACTTGGGAAAGAAACACCCTTCCATACTCCTGGCCTTCCCTTCCTTTCCTTCCCTCCAGCTAGCACATGGATCTTTCAGTCTGAACTCTTTCACACATTTTTGTGATCTCTCCAAGTTCTGCAGGTACTTGGGGAGTGTGGAAATTAGCATTTGGGAGTGCAAAGCTGTTGAGCTTTATGTGGGAACTATTATTTAAAGATTGCTGAAGAAATAAGCATGATAGAGAGTAGACTGGAAAAGCTAATGCAGATATGGTTGGTACCAAGCTACTGAGGAAGTTTGGGACACTGAAGCACAGAGAGAAGGAGGTTAGAAAGAAAAAGGTCATGCTATTTGGCTCTGGGTGAAGATAGGGAAGCCTAATTTTTGTTTTCTCAATCTGACACCTATATCCCTACCCACAGTGTGGCTTTCCATCTTTTCAGAAAATGTTAATCAGGTTCTTCTTAGTCTCTTCTGCATCTTTTCTCTAACTCTTCTGCTCCTGAGTCTCATGCTGACACTTAGCTTTTCCATAGGGGAAAGCTGATGGAGCAAAGCCAAGTTTCCTGGAGAGACGCAGGGCCAAGAAAAGTGCAGTTGATTCAGAACCAATGCTAAGGTCCCGTGCAAGATGATGGCTGTCAGGCATTTGGCAGTTTTAGGAGAGTGCAGTTGGGTTGGGCTGTATGATGACATTAAGAATGTTGTTTTAAAGAAAATTGAATACCTAAGCAACTTAAAACAGCAGACCTATCTGCTATAATTTTTGCAAGGGCTTCATTGGCTACACTTTGGGAACAACATCTTGCATTTGCTCTTTTTCAACACAACACTTCAGTTTAAAGTGTCAGGAATACATAGGTACACAATATTCAAACCATCTTCACAATACCTGCCAAATACCATCTACAATGTCCAAAGGCCACTTCCATTCCTGAGGTTCAGTCTAGTCCTCAGAAGCTGACTAACACTTAAACAGCTGCTAAAATACGCTCCACAAGACACAATGACAGCCAGGGTGGAGAAAAAACATAATCTGTGCCAAAATCATGAACCACTATTGAAAGTCTATGAGCTAATGCCAGCCCTTTGAACTGGTACACTCTTGCAAATGTGTTTGAGTTTAATAAAGTTAAAAAATTGTAATTGATGCATTCACTGTTGCAAGGCCACTAACATTGTGACCAACATTTTTATTACCTGCCACAGACATAGTAGAATATTATTATTAGATTAAGAATACTGGAAATATACTTTAAGCTTAAAATGACATAAATACATACACCTTTAGCAGTGGAAGTAGGCACCATACCTTTGATACTAAAATATTTATTTTAAAAAAAGAATAGAAGTATACCCTCTTACTTGGTAAAAGAAAAATCATCTGTGGATCCTCAAAGAATTGATAATTTTAGCTCTATAAGTAGAAGTATGAAGGAAATTTGTAATAAATCTGGACTCCAGGGCCACTTCAGGGATAAAATACTGTTACTGTGAAGATGGCTTTTAATCTTTTAAATGAACATCTTTTTAATATAAAAAATCTTTTTAATATTTATCATATATTTCATTTTCAAATGAAATTGGACACCACCCTGCAGTCCAGAACATCTGCACTTTCTAATTGTACACAGAAGCTGAGCAAACTGAATCAAGACAGAAGCTTTTTGTGTGTACGTGTATGTGTGCATGCACATGCACATGCATGGGTGGATGTATGTACTTCTGTGGTAGTATGAGAAAGAGGGAGGCAGAGAAAAAAGGAGATATTTTTCCCTTCCTACTTCATTTTTGCAACTCTGGACCTGGCAATAGGTGATTACCAGACATTGATCAAATGTTGCAGACCTCATCATATGCTGTTACCTCCAAAATTAGGTTTGTGGCCAAGGCTTCCCACTCGAAGAACTTTGATATTTTTTCTGTGTACCTCATGCACACTTGATATATTTCATTAAATGTACAAAAAAAAAATAGTATGAAATGTAGTAACTTTTAAAGCTCAATATTTGCCAACAAAGGGGTTATAAAATAGGAAGCTTATTTAATAAGCTATCTGGCAAAATATTTGAATAAATAAACCAACATTTAATTATACAATAAATATTATCTAATTTCAGTAACAGAGAAACCACTGACCAAGTCACTTTACCAAAAGCAAATTTTAACAATGAAATATCGACCAATGGATAGTGCCCCAAATAAGACCTACTTATTCTGCTTTATTCTGTGGCCATAGCATACTTTATCAATCTACCTTTTCTCCATCTGACTATTTTTTTAAAGTCTTTTTCAAAGTCCATACATTTCCCATGGTATTTTTTCTGGCCCAGGTGGTGAGCCAATATTTGGAGCACAACCAGTATTTACTACTAAGACAAGCAGTCTTAGGGGAAGAGAGATGACTAAAAGAGAGTTTTGCACATGAATGCACGTGCAAATGTTCCGAGCCTCTGAATGCAAGACAGAAGATTATTTTTTCAGTATTTTAGCCTTCTTTCATCAGTCAGAGTGGTACTGCAAGAGCAATCTGAGCTTCGCATCCAACTCACAGTATCAGTGCTCCTATGGTTATCTTTGGACTTCACTGTCTTTGTATTCAGCCCTCAGTGAAAACACTTCTATACAAGTAAATTGTACAAGGCGCCTTCTTTAAATTTGGGCTTTGCATTTGAAATCTGGAAAAAAAAAAATCCTGATACTTACCCTAGATTATATATGGCTCACCGATTTCAGCCAAGGCAAATCCAGCCTCCTGAACAGCATAACTTATTAATTGCTCTTAGTTCCATATAGAAACAGGATACATGGAGTTGCTAAACAGAGACTAAAAAGGATACGACTATTTCCCAAGGTGTAAGAAAGAGTAGATGGATACAAAGAGATTATGCTAGAGTCAGAAATTTTGCAAATTAAATTACATATTTAAAAGAGGACAAGAGGCAGTTCAATGTACATTAAGTAGGATGTCTCAGACTTCTGTGGCAGAGACAGAAACATAGTAAGTCTAATAAAAGTAAAAGAAAGAGAACAATGAAAAGACAACTTTACATCAAGAGAAAGGGATGGGAATCCCCAAGAGACAGATTAGGAAAAGGTATATAGATGGGGAAAAGGGAAAGAAATTCTAAAAATAAGAACAATCTTCTACTTTGAAGCAATAGACAGACTTCAGGCTGTCTTGCTGAACTATTCCTTCAAGCTATTTGAAAGTTAGGTATCAAAGGCTACAGAACAGCAGATTCTAACAGCCCTCCACAGATTTACATACCTGCCAGAATAAAGGATAGGATAGGATAGGATAGGATAGGATAGGATAGGATAGGATAGGATAGGATAGGATAGGATAGGATAGGATAGGATAGGATAGGATAGGATAGGACGGCTCAGTTGGAAGGAACCTTCAAAGATCATGTAGTCCAACTGCCTGACCACTTCAGGGCTAACCAGAAGTTAAAGTATATTACTGAAAGTGTTTTCCGAATGCCTCGAACACTGACAGGCATGAGGAACCACCTCACTAGGAAGCCTGTTGTGTTTGACCACCCTCATGTTAAGAGGGTACAGACCTTTTATGCTTAATTTCAGACCTAAGAATTTTAAGTGTATGCCTCCAGCACAACGGTCTTGGAGATCTCTGAATTCCAGGGAACTTTGCCCCCATCCTTCCCAAGACACATATATACAGAACACGAGTGTGCAGCATCTAAAAGCTTAGAAACACCTGGCCTCCAAAGTCCCACATGCCCCTTTGCTGTGGCAGGGCTAATACTTGGTTAAATATTGGCACAGCTTCAGATCATTAATTACAGATACATAGCTATTTAGAGCTCTGATAGCTTCCAGAGCCTGAAAGCAGCCACCATACTTCAAAAGCATAGGCATATTTATAATGATATTTCCTGTTGGTTTGCTTTGTTTTCTCTTCCTAAATCTCTCCCATTGTTGATATTGCCATCCTCCTCTGTTACCACTCTTGCTTTCCCTTCTCTGTTTTCTATTTACTCTATTTTGTTGTTACCTCTCCTTCCCTAACTCTCTGTTCTCATTTTTTAAATTCATATTAACATATCCACTTCATTGTTTCTCTGTCCTACCCTGGATTTCATATTGCAACGAGCAAAACAAAATATGAGAGGAAAAAATGAAGTGTTGCATTTCTAGTTATCTACTCCCATATCTTGTGCTGTTTTGCATGTGAAGCCTTAGCATATGTCTGGAGCTTGACTTGAGAAATACTAGTTTTCATTTGGAAAAGAGAAAGCAGCTTTCTAGCACACGTGGTTTCTGAGAAAACATTATCTGAGCATACCCTGAATGCTAAGAAAACAAAGGCAAATAAAAAGAACCTCACATTGATTGTTTTTAAGCCAGAAAACAAATAAAAAGGAACTCCAATTTGATTATTTTAAGCCACTCTCATCACATGTGATTTTGGAACACTTAAAGTTGGCAATACTGCAATATGGATCAGGCGTGGTATTTGCCAGAAATCAGTCTGAGCATTTTATATACATTTGCTTCCTCTTCTACTCTTACCTATTAGTAGTGCAGCATTTTTCAAGACTGGTTGTTAAAACGTGTTGTCTGCAAACTAGCAAAAAGGGAGTGTGCACCCTGAAAACTTCTGGAAAAAAAAAAAAAAAAAGCAGAGATCAATACAGGGAATAGAGGAGTTGTGTGACTGCCATGATCCCTCCTGTCTTCAATCCTGGATGAGGATGGACTTTTAGTCTGGCTCTGGAACAACCTTATTGCCCTACCTTATTCCTAGGCCTGGTATACTACACCTTAAAGGCTCCTCACACATCCTCTTGTCATCAGAAGTACCAAGTAATGACAAAATAGAGTATCATAGAATCATAGAATATCCTGAGTTGGAAGGGACCCTTAAGGATCATCAAGTCCAACTCTTGACACCGCACAGGTCTACCCAAAAGTTCAGACCATGTGACTAAGCGCACAGTCCAATCTCTTCTTAAATTCAGACAGGCTCGGTGCAGTGACCACTTCCCTGGGGAGCCTGTCCCAGTGTGCAACCACCCTCTCTGTGAAGAACCCCCTCCTTATGTCAAGCCTAAATTTCCCCTGCCTCAGCTTAACCCCGTTCCCGCGGGTCCTGTCGCTGGTGTTAATGGAGAAAAGGTCTCCTGCCTCTCGACACCCCCTTACGAGGAAGTTGTAGACTGCGATGAGGTCTCCCCTCAGCCTCCTCTTCTCCAGGCTGAACAGGCCCAGTGCCCTCAGCCGTTCCTCGTACGTCTTCCCCTCCAGGCCTTTCACCATCTTCGTAGCCCTCCTCTGGACACTCTCCAACAGTTTCATGTCCTTTTTATACTGTGGTGCCCAGAACTGCACACAGTACTCGAGGTGGGGCCGCACCAGCGCAGAGTAGAGAGGGACAATCACCTCCCTTGACCTACTAGCGATGCCGTGCTTGATGCACCCCAGGACACGGTTGGCCCTCCTGGCTGCCAGGGCACACTGCTGGCTCATATTGAACTTGCTGTCTACCACGACCCCCAGATCCCTCTCTTCTAGGCTGCTCTCCAGCGTCTCATCACCCAGTCTGTACGTGCAGCCAGGGTTTCCCCGTCCCAGGTGCAGGACCCGGCACTTGCTCTTATTGAACTTCATGCGGTTGGTGATCGCCCAGCTCTCCAACCTATCCAGATCCCCCTGCAAGGCCTTTCCACCCTCATTCGAGTCCACAACTCCTCCAAGTTTGGTGTCATCAGCAAACTTGCTCAAAATACCTTCTATTCCTGCATCCAGATCGTTTATAAAAATATTGAAAAGTACCGGCCCTAAAATGGAGCCTTGAGGGACCCCACTGGTGACCGCCCGCCAGCCTGACGCAGCCCCATTTACCATAACCCTTTGGGCCCTGCCCGTTAGCCAGTTGCTCACCCATCGTATGATGTTTTTATTTAGCTGTATGGTGGACATTTTGTCCAGTAGGATCCTATGGGAAACCGTGTCAAAAGCCTTGCTGAAGTCCAAAAAAATCACATCAGCTGGTTTCCCTTGGTCCACCATACGGGTGATCTTATCATAAAAGGAAATCAGGTTAGTTAGGCAGGACCTACCCTTCACAAACCCATGCTGGCTGGGACCAATGACTGCTTTGTCCCCCAGGTGCGCCTCAATAAGTTCGAGAACCATCTTCTCCATGATTTTACCAGGCACTGATGTGAGACTGACAGGCCTGTAATTGCTAGGGTCTTCTTTCTGACCCTTCTTGAAAATCGGCACAACATTTGCCAGCTTCCAGTCTACCGGGACCTCTCCAGATTCCCAGGATCGTTGAAAAATAATTGAGAGAGGTTCCGCGATGACGTCCGCCAGCTCTTTCAGCACCCGGGGATGAATCCCATCTGGACCCATGGACTTGTAGGGATCCAGGTAGTAGGCAAGTGGTGAGTATTATTTGTCCTCAGATTTCCAGAGGTGAGAAGAGCACATGCAAAGCCACAACATCATCTTCCTTTTGGGCTTGGGAGGGGAGACTGTTTTCCCCCCTTTCTTTTTTCTCTTTGCCCTCTTTTTTGGGAGAGGAAAAACGTAACTCTAAACAACTTCACATTTTCTGATTTTTTTTTTTTAAGAGAGCGAGCAGAAGAATCAAAAAATTATACAAGTGTGACAGTGCTCCCTGTTCTTTTGTTTCCTTCTATTTGTGTGGCTAAGGTGCCTGTAACCCTGGTAAGTATCACACTATTTCCCATCTGATTAACACAAGTGGTTCTGGAAATACCATGACACACTCCTCTCTGTGCAACAACTGCTTTACTTTTCAACCATTTTTAGGCACGATGCTGTCTATTCCACTTTAAGCAGATATAAAGCTTGGAAATCAGAACCTGTGGAATTCATAAAGGAAACAGCATACAAAGCAGCTATTTACAATTATAGCACTAGGGTTTTTCCAAGAATTTCTGAATATGTGTATTCCTTTGCCCACGATGTTTCAGCTTCTGTGGTAGATAGTTTGACGGATCTGAATTGGAATGACGTTGAACGCATAAGAAACAGAAACAAGTGCAGAAATCTTGGCTGGCTGCTGCTGGCTCCTTACTGGTGACACGGATATTATGATTAATCAACAGTGTAGTTCTGGACACAGTGAGTCAGGACCTTATTGCTGCTGGTGAAGGAATTCAGCAATTCCTGTCCAAACTGAAATTACCATGGGAGTTTTGTGGGTGTCTTGTAGAGATTCATACCTGCTATGAATATATATATGTCTTCAGGAAGCAGAAAGTTTCTAAAACCTCAGCAATGCCAGGAGAACATAGATTCAAGTTCACCTTTCTGTAAGTGCATCATGCTCTTTCTCCATGTTACCATCACTCTGTTCCCCATCTATGTGCAGGCACACCTGTCTCTTTCCTGAGCCTTTTTGGCATTTGGTAGCTGTCGTGTTGCTGGATAAATGGGAATAAACAGGCTTAAGCTTATCCTAGCTCTCCCATGAACTGCACAGGAAGACAAGGTGCTTAAAATCAGCATTAATATCCTAGATCGAATGGTACATTTTAGAGCTTATAGAACCTGTCTTTTGAAGCAGGATCTTTCTGAGGGTCTTACAGATACAGCCAAACTGCTAGAATCCTAAAATCCCTGACTGTAGCACTCATTTGTCCAGTTCATAAATCTGCCTCTCTATTCTTCAAAGTGCCAAAACCTATCTAGCCAAACATCCAGCTTTTATAAGACAGTCTAACAAGCTGTCTGGCTCAACTAGCTGAACTCTGATGGTGCTCCAGATTTTCAGTCAGCAGACCACTTTGTAAGGAAAATATCTACTCGCAGATCCTGTTCCCTTCCAGTACCAGTAGCTTAATCTACCATGTATTAGTTTATTTTATTTTTTTTCAATCAACCACAAGAAAGAGCTCTGCAGTCCATCCACTCACCACAGTTTCAGATCCTTGCTTCCTCAGCCTTTTTTTCTTGGCCTTCTTCACTGTAAATGGTGTCAGTGATACTTTCTATGGTCTGTTTATGCATAATATGATATAAAAAAAAAACCTGCATACTTGGTATGACCAAGAAATTCTGAGTACAAAAGTACTCTTTGGGATTTCTTCTGCCTGAGCTCACTCTGTTCTTGGATAATCCTGTAACAGGCTGTTCTCTATGATCACAGATGTAAATGGCCCCACAGAAGCTGGAGCACTCGACTCTACTACCAAGTTAGACTGCACACAGTTATACCTAATTGCTGCTTCCATTACAACTTCTCTTTCAAAGCTGGTAAGGCACAACTAAATAGAAGCAGTCCTTGTAAAATCACAGCTAGGGCTTTTAATCAACAAAGAGTAAAATAACTACTATAATTACAGATTTGTTGCAATGCTTCCTCCTAAAAATGGCAATGTTTAAGAAAGAAATGTTGTTTTTAACACAATTCTTCAAGTTTTACCCTTGGCGTAGATACATAGTGATTCTCTTTCTCTCCTGGAAGATAAGGGGCAGAGAGGCTTTCACCTTCCCATGTTTCTACTGCTCATTGCTAATAGCTTCAGCAGCAGTCCCGCCAGTGCTCCCAAGAGCCTGGCTGCTTCAATAATGAAGAAGCATGATCCTCAGTAGTGATGCAGGTATTAGTAACATCACCACACACACAATATTTTAAGGAATGAAATCTGTCTAGAAAACTGGAAAACAAGAGACTCAAAGTGAAATATTCCTATTATTTCATGCACTGTTATTTTTTATTATTATTATTTTCAGGAAAAACATCTTTCAAACTATAGTTCTCCTATGAGTACATACAGTTGTTCCTCTAGTGTGACATCTATGAGACCATATTTTTGCATTCACTTACAACATTGTCCATGCAGAGTTTAATCAAGTATCTACTAGCCTGTGACTGAAAACTGATAATGATAGAATTCTCAGTCATGCAAAAAAAAAAAAAAAAAAAAAAAGTGAAATGGTAAATAGACAGTGGGAATGCAATTATATTAGGGCTCTCATGTTTTCAAGACTTAATATAAGTTTTGGCAAGGATATTCAGTAAAACTATATTGATTCATCTTTGCCTGTTTTTAGTTTTTGTATTTTGAGCGAACCCCAGCATTATCACATGAACCCACATAAGGTGCTATTTTTGTTTACAATATTTTACTACATGATTAATTTAATTCTGTGCAAAATTTCAGCTTTGTGCATAAAGTTTAACATGACAACTTATCCTATATGAAGCCACTAACAGAGGAGGAAAACTATTTTAAAACTAGGTGCACTGACTTCAATACATTTTAGAGCAGGCCTTGTTTTCATGAACTTCACAAGTTAGTATGCTAGTTTTATGAGAGAGAATCGTCAGGACTATGTGGAAAGATGTTGACAGAGTAATTCATATAGTAAAACAGTTCTTAATATACTAGGTTGTATTTTCAATTATGCTTTCTATTTGATTGTTAAAAGCAAATCTTGTTGATCCAGCAATATACACTTGGCTTTGCAGCCACTGTTGCTGTTTAGTAATGTCTTGGGAAATCCTATGCCTTTGAAAATCTATGCAAATCATCTAAGAGGAGCCAACTTTAACACTCAGGTTGAATTAGAAAATAGGAAAACACACAGTGTAAGTAGTTTAAGAACAAATTTGTCTCTAGCTAAAATTAAGCACCAATTCATAGTGACATTGTGAAAACACCAAACTGTACGTTAAAATTCCTAAACATCACTGCTATTCACAACAAGCCAATACAAACATTCGTTATTTCTGTGTCTAAAAGTGAGTTTATAAGTTAGGAAAATGATGTCAGTATAAAAGAATTCCAAACTAATTTTATCTGATGGGCAAGTGAATTCATGTACTGAGATGCTAAATAAATATTTGACAACACCATTCCATAGTATAATTTATTTCACATATGTACTAAATTAAAA